AGCAGATATTTTCTTTTCTGGAAAGTCAACTCTGGAAATAAGTGAAGGCCCTCCAATGAGAACAAACAGAGGCTATTTATTTTGAGTTTGCTATAGTAAGATTTGGCCACTGTCATTTGCATTCGATAGGCTCAGAAGCAGGCAGAGGAATAGGAAAGCTCTATAGTAAACACAAGGAAGGCCTCAGGTCTGCTTTGGTTATAGGTTATGGGCACGGGCAAGATGGGGATGATTAATTAGAAATAGAGCATCTTATGTGATTGACTAGGATGCATATTTGTCTCTCTCTGGTTGATCCTTAGTTGGAAGCAGGGATGAAAATATAGTGAAACTGGTAGTCTTGATCAGGTCTTGACCGCTCTGGATAGGTTGCTTCAGAGGTTGTGGATCAGCGTTCTACTTGGTCTGACTTGTCCATTTGTATATTCAATCTCTCACAAGACAAATTGAGTGACCATATGTCAGAAGTTGTTTGTGTAATATCCCATCAAGAAATAAGGGGATCCCTTGTCTATCCCATGATTCATAATCCTTATTATCCACTGAGTTAAAATTAGGATATATAGTTGCTTACCAAAGAAGAATCAATTTATTCAGGCATATCACTGCTCTATCTGAGGTTTTAACCTTGACTAATCAGAGCCTATACTTTTGATATGCCTTTTGATTTGCATATTCAGGTTCTATAATTTCCATAATCTCTTTGATGAGCCATAAGAAAGAACATTACTTCCACGTATTCTATTTCTGTGAAGTATTTCAGCTACATATTTCATAAAACTCATTTTCTTCAGAAATGTCTTATCTTCACCTCAGGGTGTGAAGGATATCAAATACATTTTGTCTTACAATTAAAAATTCAACTTCATGTTCATTGAATACTTCAGAGTCTGTGAACTGTGATGAAGTTGGCTGCACATGAGCTTTTTGTCTTAGACAATTAATTTAGAAAGATTGTCTCCCAAGGACTATTAGGTTCTGTAGGCTAAATATAATTGACCAAAGCAAAAGCACCTTGATTTCTTTTGCCTTTTAACAGGATCTGCTACCTATTTATTCCCCATAGTTCATCATTTTTAGTCTTTTCATATCTTAGTTTATGTGCACTTCCTCAGAGATGCCTTCTCTGATCAGCATCCTCACCATTCCTTTAACAGTGTTTTCTCTGAAACACCTGTGTTAGTCGCTAGGGTGACATACAAAGTAACTTACTGGGTCGTTTAAACAATAGAAATATATTTTCCCACAATTCTGGAAGCTACATGTCCCAGAGCAAGGTGTCAGCAGAGTTGGTTTCTTCTGAGACCTCTCTGCTTGGCTCATAAATGACCATCATTTCCGTGTGTCCTCACGTGGTCCTCGTTTTGTATGGCTGTGTCCTAGTGTCTTAGTAATGACACCTGTCTTATGAGGTTAAGGTCCGCCTTGATGACTTCACTTTAACTTAGGTACCTCTTTAAAGGCCCTATCTCCAGTCATATTCTGTGATACTGAGGGTTAAGACTTCAAGATGTGAATTTTGAGGATGAGATTCAACAAGAATTTAATTATAATTTGTAATTGTAATTTTTCTTTTTAGTTCATGTGTTTAATTTCTCTTTTCTGCACCACAGCACAAGCTCCATAAAATTAGGAATGATGTTTGCTTTGTGTACCAGCTCTAGCACAATCCTTGGCACAGGCCCACGCAGAAACTGGTTTTCTATGAAGCTGGTGAAATGGCAGGTTATTGCTGGGATCTTCTGGGAGTTGTAGAGCATATTAATGATTTGATATTCCTTTTATTAAAGAGAGGCCATAACAATAAAGGAGCTTTATATTCCATAAAACCTGGAACTTCTCCTAGGCCCATGTAGGTATTCAATAAATGAACTAGTGATCAAAACTTGATGTGAGTGCTGTATTATAAAGAGCCTGTGCTTTTTTAAAAAAAAACAAAAAACATGCTTGATATTTAGTTAATCTAAACTCAGATGTGTTTTCCCACAGAGGTAATGTTACAAACTGGTCAAAAAGATTTTTTTTTAATTTCCCAACTTAATCATTTTTTCTTTATTTTCTTTCTTTATTTTTCCCATCTCTACTTATTCCTCCAATACCTTCTTTCACTTCCACCTACCTTTTTCCCCCCTGCAATCACCACATAATCATCATGTTCATGACCATTAGTTCTTCCTTCCTTCCTTCCTTCCTTCCTTCCTTCCTTCCTTCCTTCCTTCCTTCCTTCCTTCCTTCCTCTCTCTTTTTTTTCTCAATCCCTTCACACACACACACACACACACACACACACACACACACACACACACACACACAACACACACACATCCCAAGCGGTCTACCTGTTATCTATCATAATTAAAATGGCAAACGAAATAAAGAAAAAGCTGAAACCGGTTTGGCTCAGTGAATAGAGTCTCAGCCTGTGGACTGAAAGGTCCCGGGTTTGATTCCGGTCAAGGGCATGTACCTTGGTTGTGGTTACATCCCCAGTAGGGGATGTGCAAGAGGCAGCTGATTGATGTTTCTCTCTCATCAATGTTTCTAACTCTCTATTCCTCTCCCTTCCTCTCTCTTCCTCTCTATAAAAAAAATCAATAAAATATTTAAAAGAAATAGAGAAAAAAGATTCTTTAAGGTGAATAAAATGATATACAATGTTTATATAAGAAAAAAAAATATATATTTCTTTAGAATTATCTTTGGTAGTCTAATCCACCCAATATAATTTGCTTGTAGTGATGACTATATATATATATATATATATATATATATATATATAGAGAGAGAGAGAGAGAGAGAGAGAGAGAGATAGAAACATCAAAGATGAGAGAGCATCATTGATTGGCTGTCTCTGCACTTCCCACACTGGGGATCTAGCTCACAAACCAGGCAGATGCCTTGACTGGGAATCAAAGTTCCACTTCCCGATTCATAGGTCAATACTCAACCATTGAGCCATACCGGCTGGGCAATGACTTCCTTCTTTTTCATGACTTTTTAAAAAATATTTTAATACTATAGCCAGTCCTCAAACTATGTATGGTTGCTTTGTTTTTAGTTAATTCTAATAGTTGAATAATTCCAGTTCTTTGCAGAGATTTCTTATTTTAATACATTTAGATTTTCTTGAGTTTTCAATTTGCAGTAAATTTTGCCCGTTTTATTTAAATTGCAACCTGTAAGGCAGAGACCAGAACTTCTTCAATATGTTTTGTGAAACTAAATATTACCTAATCATAAAATATATTCTTATCATAGAGGAACCGTTCATTTCTGAGTTATAATGTTCACTGCAATTCAACATCATTCAGAGATTTTTTTGCTTTAGCTTGTTGCTAGTGGCAGCAAACAAAAATATTTGGAAGCATTGACCTTTAATGTCTCTGTTCATGGTCATTATCCTTTTACCCCACGCTTGTCTGCCTTGTCTACAATTAATTGTACTTGAGATCTCTCCAGTGTCACCTTCAATGTAAAATGAATTTAGTTCAGATCAAGTTTAGACTCTAGGGACTTTAGAGAATAATTGCATTCTGGCTGACATCCCAGAAATATTGGCATTCCATAATGACACTATTATAAGTGGCCCAGCTACAGCTGTCCCAAGTACCCCTTCCATTAACCTCATAATGTTTTTATTTTTCTGAAAATATCATAACTTTTTTTTTTTGGATAACCAAAGGACAGAGTTGCCCATTGATCAGTACCATTAATTTCCTTCATAGCAGAATTAAGACATTTTATAGATGGCTTAAAGAGTGAGGTATGTGTGAGGCAGTGTTTCTTAAACTTGAACATGCATAAGAAACACCTGGAGAGCTTGTTAAAACACTGATGACTGGGACTCAACTCCAGAATTTTTAATTCAAAAGGAAGAGAGAGTGGTCTGAGAATTTTTATTCATTTTATTATTTTTAATAAGCTTTATTTAAGCTACGGGTAGTGCCAAAGAAGAGGGTATATACTTGGTAACAGAATACAATTAAAGTCTGATACTTATATTTGTTGCAGAAACCTTCAATTGAAACTGATGAATGTCCAGTCCTAGGGAGAGTCCTCCAGGAACTATTAATACTTTTCTAAGCCAAGCTGAGAGTGAAGCTATCTTTCAAAAAAAAAGAACTACAACTCCCAGAATGCCCTCCCCCACCTTCTCCGCGAGAATAGGAGGGGCGTGGCTACATCAACCAATCGCTTCATTGAAAAACCTATGCCGCCAGCCAATCAGAAGGCGAGCAGGCGCCGGAAGTCGGGAGGCTGAAGGCGCGGTAGGTTTGAAATAGGGAAGTTGGCGCGGCGGAGGGAGGTGGGTCCGCGGCCTGGCGGTTTGCTGGGGTCGGTTCGCGTCTGGCGTGGCGAGGGCGGCGGGGCCCGGGCCTCCCGGAGAAGGTGAGAGGGCTGGGAGCTAGCTGGCCTCCGACCCGCCATGGCGATAGAGGAAAGTGGGTTTGGGGTGGATGTGTGAGTGTCGGGGGGAAGGGAGAGGGGAGGGGGCTTGTTCAGGGCCTGGACTGCACCCATGCACCCCGCCCCGGTCTTCCCTTCACGGCCCCTGCCTGGCCTGGGCGGGAGGCAGCGGCGGAGCAGGGGCGTGAGTCTGTCCTCCAGGAGGGGCCGGCGCCTGGGACTTGGCGATTTAGGCTGGAATTGAAAGTGTCAGAGTTGGGAGGTTCCTTAAATGCCACCAAGTTCTCGTGTGAGAAAATGTAGCTGGCGCACTTTCCCAGGGTCAGAGAGCGTGGGAGTGTCCTGTGCAGCTACATTACCAACGGACTTCTCAGAGGTAAGGGTGCCCGGGATCTTGCTGCACTTTAACCCTGGTTCAGTCCAGGTGACTGAGCTGCCCTGGAATATCTCGAGTTAGAAGTAAGTTGCTAATCTTTTCTAGCAAAGGTCACGCTGCCAACATATAGTTGATTGGAATATGCGCCTGATGTGATTCAAGCAACCTAAGATCCAACAGTGCGTGTTCTGCTTGTTTTGTAGCATTGTCTTGCAAAATGGTAGAGGATGAGCTGGCCCTGCTGGATAAAAACATAAATGAATTTTGGAATAAATTCAAAGGCAATGTCAACGACACCTCCTGTCAGATGGTGGGTCTAAGAGATGCCTACAAGGACATCAATAAAGCATTTACAGGTACCTAACGTTAGTTTGTAACATTATGTTGTTCTTTGCTTTTTACTGTTATTTCAGCTGAATTGAAACATCCATTTCAATTTCTCTTTCAGAAAAGCTGGCTGTGAAATTGAAGGAAGAAGAGCGAATGGTTCAGATGTATCTAGAATATCAAAATCGTATGTGACAATCTGTAGATCTCAGAGTTGTTTTTTTTAATATTAAACATCTTTATGAAATCCATGATATAAGTAAAACAATGTATGCTGTATAAATGTGTGTGAATATGTATATATTATGAAAATAATATTTTGTATTCATAATAAATAGGACATCCCATGTTATATCTTTCTCTTTTCCCACCTTCCAGAATTAACCTATCAATATTTTGTTTAGTGTTGTGGTTTTGAATGTTATATAAAAAGTATTATTTTGTCCCCCTTTTTGATTATTTTGTCCCTTTTAGTCTTTGGTAGTGAGTTTTATTTCTGTATTAGTGGCCTTGTCCACAAATCCATGTGCTAATAGCTTGCTGCTGCTTGTCTCAGCTGGCTGTTTGGCCCACCATTGCACATAACTCCCCACTCCTCTTTCTCCTTCCCCACCTCCCCAATCCTCTACCTGTAGCTTGCTGCCCCGCCCTCCTGCTGGTCCAGTCCATTTGCATATTACCTCTTTATTATATAGGATTTATTTGAAGGGGGAGAGCTGCAAGGGTCATGATCATCTGATTTTTTAATCCTTTTTAAAAAATATATATTTTATTGATTTTTTACAGAGAGGAAGAGAGAGGGATAGAGAGCTAGAAACGTCGATGAGAGAGAAACATCGATCAGCTGCCTCTTGCACACCCCCTACCAGGGATGTGCCTGCAACCAAGGTACATGCCCTTGACCGGAATCGAACCTGGGACTTTTCAGTCTGCAGACCGATGCTCTACCACTGAGCCAAACCGATTTCGGCAGATTTTTTAATTCTTGTTTTTATTTGGTATTTTTTTAAAAAGCATTTTTATCTTTTTATTTCTATTTTCAAAGACAAATAGAAAAGAATACATTAGGATTCTATTTGTTTTTTTATTTTTAATTTCTATCATTAGGAGATATTAATTAAAACGTGCTGTATTAATCTTATGAAAGTCAATACTTTGGTCTATCTTAGGTACATATTGGAGGACAAAGCATTTATGTTCCAGCTAATGCTTTGTGCTTTTCACAGAGATCTGCAGGCAGAATAAGCTTATTCAGGAAAAAAAAGATAACTTGTTAAAGTTGATTGGTGAAGTAAATGGCAAAAAGCAGGATTTGGAAATACTGACTACAACTATCCAGGATCTTAAGGAAGAATATGCTAGGAAGAAGGAAAGTAAGTTTTCGGTTGTGCACGTGTTTAAACATCAATCTAAATGTCAAACTAGTGATGGTTCACAACTCTATTTTGCCTTCTCTGCAATTTATTGCCCCAAATAGATATTATGCCAGGACTCAACTCTGTAAGGGGTCTTTGCAAGTAGCTGAGTGGATTTTATTTTTCTGTTTTACTTAAAGGTCCTTTGGATTTCTTACAGAACCAGAGTAATAATGAAGTCAATCAGTGAGTTTAATTAAGTATAGTAGGAAACAGTTTCATGAAACAAGATTTGCTTGCGAGAAGCCATAGTATCATTAAGATAACAAATTTCTGGACCCCGCATTCTCTGACAGAAATTATTAAGCAACCTCTTTATGCTGGAAAATTTCTTTGTTTAAAAAACTTTTATACTCAAATGAGTGTTTCCTTTAGAAAGGGGTCTTGTTTGCCCACAAACAAAGTAATCAAATCTCAAATCTCTTGAAAATAGCAGAGTTTTGTTAATGCTTTTTCTTACAGAATTTTTATGCCTATATTATTTTTCTTATCTGCTATGTAATAGGACATAATGTGCTAATTTTAAGAATAATTCTAAACTAGCGTGAAATAAAGCTGACTTCTTGTGATAGTTATGTTTAAAAAAATAGAATATTTTTCCAATGAAGTAATTTCTTGGCTAACCAAAAATAGTATAAATGAAATCTGTTTCTCTGCCAGCCATGCAAATTTTGGCTTATTTATTCATGCTATTAAGCGATAAAGTAGAATAAAATATTCCTCTCACTTGTATATTTTCTCACACAGTTTTGCCTTTCATCTTGAATGAACATAAGTCCCTTTTGCTAATTGGTAGAGATAGAAACTGAATATAAATTAACAGATTCATTTGGCATCACTTTCATAGTTGTTTTCAAGGTTCCATAATGAGCACTGAGTATTATTTAAAATATTTGATAGTGTGTCTGTTTTCTTAATCAGCTATTTCCACTGCTAAAAAAATGAGTGAAGAGAGGTTGCAAAGGTTACAGAAGTCTGTAGACATATTTAAAGATCGACTTGGACTAGAAATTCGAAAAATTTATGGTAAGTATATTAATGTCAATAAAACAGGAAATTAGGTGTGTCATTTTTTAAGTAGAGTAGAATTAAAAACATTTTTTAAGAGTAAAAATATTTCATGTTTTCTAGTAAAATAATGACTATATTATTAACTTTTTAGAAAGTTGGGAAAAACTACAAAATTTTCATCACCATAACCTAAGTACTAATGCCTTTGTTATTTATTATCCAATATTTTAATAAATGTATTTTGGGCATGGTTTGACAACTATGCAAACAATTTTTGTTCTTTGCTCATACTGGTATTGTATGATTAGCATTTCTCCAGTTGTTGTAATGGTAAATTTTAAAATGGTATAATAATTCATTCCATTAACATATAAGCACGTGTATTGCCTCTAAGTTAACTTTTGGATTCTGCTGTTTCTTAGTTTTAAAAGTACTACAATAAATGTAGATTACTCCATTTCTTTTGTATAATTTCTGTGGAATTTCCAGAGAGGAATTACTGGTTAAAGCATATAAATATTCCAATGGCCTTTCCATGTATATATACCAATTTATAGCACTATTTACTGTATGGGGAGTCCCCAAGATTAGCATCATGTTTGGTGATTTGCCAGAAAGATTTACTGGACTTGACATATAGTCGTAATTTTGATAAAGTACAATGCCTTTTTTTCTTTTGTTATTTGTGATTTTGATGTCATATGTAAACTACAATACTTTTTAAATAATTTCAGCATACATTTGGAGATAGTGGTTGGCAAATTCATTAGTCAACAGAGCTAAATATCAACAGTACAACAAATGAAATTTCTTTTGAGAGCCAAATTTTTTATACTTAAACTATATAAGTAGGTACATCGTTATTAACTTAATTAGGGTACTCCTAAGCTGGCCTTTGCTAAAAACTCAAGGGGCCAAAGAGCCGCATGTGGCTCACGAGCCACAGTTTGACAACCGCTGGGTTAAGTGAATATAAAGGGTGAGGCAAAGGTAGCTTTTGGAAAATAATACAATAATTAATACATTATAAGAATAAACTAGTTTGTATACTCATACAAACCTATTTTTGCCTCATCCTATATATACTTAGTGTTTAATGATTGACCAGAGATAAGAAAGCACATCTCCAAAAAAAAAAATTTGACACTAAAATGTTCTCACATTAAATAATTTAATCTCTTTTTTCAGGTGATAAATTGCAGTTTATATTCACTAATATTGACCCTAAGAATCCTGATAGCCCATATATGTTTTGCCTGCACCTAAATGAAGCAAGGGACTATGAAGGTATGTCCTCTCCTCTATAACGGGTATTTAAGTTTGCTACCCCAAAATATTACTTGAATCAGAATATAAATAGCTATTAATATTGTTTTCTTTTTCAGTCTTGCTTTTGGGGATATTGTCCTATAAAGGCCGTGACTATAATAGACTTTTGATGGCACAGTGCCATAGTGACAGAAAAGGCTAAAAGATAAAGGTCACTATATTATGAAATATGAGTTATCCTTTTAGAGAACTCAAAGCTGTAAAGGATATGACCTCAATGTGAATACTATTATAATTTTTCCAAGTAGGTGATTTTAAAACCAAATGTAAAAACATTAGAATTTGGTAATCTTTGTCCCCCCAGAAATCAATTTTACAAAATTATTCCATCCTGAAAAATTCTACCCTGATAATTTAGCTGAGTTACTGATTCTCTAGCAGGCCAGATGGTTTTTGATTTATGGGGAATATATATGATTGGTGATAGTGTGAACAAGAAGAGGATGGAAATATAATTATTTTTTATTCTTCTAATTCCCTTTGAAAGTGATTAATTTATTGAAACTCAGAAAATGCTTCTCAGCTTTTGGTGCCTGTGTTCTCATTAAAGCATTTATAGGAGACACACACTCAGGTGACTTGTTTAGTTGGCTCTGCAATGTGCCATGATGATCCGGTTCCTATTCCAATGAAATTTATATTTTAGGACTCAAATTCATGCACAAAAATTTGGCCTTTTTCTCTCTAGGTAAATATCTCCTAATCTAATGAGTGCTGAATTTTAAGAAGCAATCCCAGAAAACCTCTTACCTAGCTTTTAAATTTTCTCCAAATTCGATTCCTCTGTTGCTTCATAGTGTCAGTATTAGATAGTGTGTTAAAATAGAATCTACAGTTTAATTTTGGAACCAACTAGTTTTTTATTTTTCTCTGCTTTGGTCAGGGGCCTTGTTTCCTAAACAATTTCTGCCAAAGAGCAGGATCTGATGTCGTATTTCTTCCCCTTGAACAAAGGACAGGTTGATGGTAGAGAATGCTGGGTCGTTCTTTTCCTTTGACCCACCTCCCTGGAGACTTGCTTGCTCCCATATGTACCATCTGGTTCAGCTGCATGAGATCCGAACTGTTATTTGTGACTTTGAGTATCATTTGTTTAGTAAGTCCTGTAAATGCCACTTTTGGAATAGCGAACACATTTTCTGATGACCTCCCTCTCATTTGTGAGACTTCAGACTCTCCTCCGTATAATTGTAAATTATTAAGGATTGGAATTTTTTTGATTCAGTGGTAAGATGCTACAAGTCAGGCTAAAGTTCTGTAGAGAAAACTGACTTAACAGTTTAACACACACACACACACACACACACACACACACACACACACACACACACACACAAACCTGTTAAAAAGTTTAATTAAAATGTACAAGAAAGATGATGGGAAATGGCATTCTGTTCTTTACCGCTAAGCTCTTCAGTCCCTTGCCTACCATCTGTTTAAATTTAAAGCAAGATTGTATACAGAGATTTGAATATTTAGTGATTAAGCAGAGGAAAGGTTCAAAAGATATGAAAATCAGGTGTATCATCTATGCTCAAATCAACTCAATAAAATGGGATTAAGATTATTTGAATCAGATGAAAGCATCTAAATTGGGAAACTTCCATAAAAAATCTAATTCAAATTATCTTTTTTTTTTTTTCTTCCAGTGTCAGATAGTGCTCCTCATCTTGAATGCCTAGCGGAATTTCAAGAGAATCTAAGGAAGACCAAAAATTTTTCAGCCTTTCTTGCCAATGTTCGAAAAGCTTTTAGTACTATGGTTTATAGTTAATGTATAAATAGTACATAAAATAAAAACTATTTTTCTCCGCTATTTTTATCTCTTAAAAAGAATTCTCATCATATATAGCTTGCCTGTAATCTTTTTTTTTGTTTGTTTTTTTTTTGTTTTTACATTTCTGTATGCTGTGTTTCTTTAAAATATTTAATTAAAGTCTTAGGAAATAAAATTTATAAAGTCAAATGTGTTCTTTTTAAAATGAAAGAATATATACATATATAGTTGACCCATGAACAACATGGGTTTGAATTGCTCAGGTCAATTTATATGTGGATTTTTTTTCAATCTTCTATACTAATAAAAGGGTAATATGCTAATTAGACCAAGAGACCTTCCAGGAGACCTTGTGCAAAAAGCCATGGTGGCAGGGCCAAGGCAGAAATGGTTAGGGTCGATCAGGTCAGGAGGGGAGAGCAGTTGGGGGCAAGCAAGCCTGCAGCGGTGGCAGTTGGGGACTAGCAGGCTGGCGGGGGGTGGAGGGTGCGGCAGTTGGGGTCGATCAGGTAGGCAGTCAGAGTGGTTAGGGGCGATCAGGCAGGCAGGCAGGTGAGTGGTTAGGAGCCAGCAGTTCTGGATTGCTAGGGGGATGTCTGACTTCCGGTTTAGGCCTAATCCCACAGGGAGTCAAATATCCCCAAAGGGGTTCCAGATTGGAGAGGGTGCAGGCTGGGCTGAGGGACACACACCCAATGTGTGAATTTCATGCATTGGGCCACTATTCTAAGAGTAATATGCAAATTGACCATCACTCCCACACAAGATGGCTGCCCCTATGTGGATACAAGATGGCCAGCAGGGGAGGGCAGTTGGGAGGGACCAGGCCAGCAGGGGAGGTCAGTTAGGGGCAATCAGTCTGGCAGGGGAGCAATTAGACATCAATCAGGCTGGCAGGCAGAAACAGGGACAATCAGGAAGGTAGACAGGTGAGCAGTTGGGAGCCAGCAGTCCTGGATTGTGAGAGGGATGTCCCAGATTGAAGAGGGTGCAGGCTGGGCTGAGGGATCCCCTTCCCCCCATGTACAAATTTTGTGCACCAGATCTCTAATAAATATATAATCATCCATCCATATCCCTGGGTTTCACATCTGCAGATTCAACAAGTATAGCTAAAAAACAGTATTTTCAATCTGTAGTTAGGAAACCACAAATATAGACAGCTGACTTAAATTATCCATGGGTTTTCAACTGCATGGGGATCAGAGCCCTTAATGACTGTAGTTGTTCAAGGATCAACAGTATATATACATATGTATTTTTAGATAAAGTTTTATATATATTGCATATGTTATATTTTACATAGTAAAATATGTAATATATATGTATATGTATATATATATATATTATTATTTTTTTTAATAGCAGGCAGGGATAATGTATGGCTTGCCTGTGGAAAGGAATTTGTACAGCCTACACTGTGCCTCTGCTTTCTAAACATGGACCAGTAATATTAAAAACTTAGGAGGGTGGGCCCAACCTAAGGTTGGCAAATTTTGAAATGTACCTGGTAAAATGAACACTATTAAATGGTACTATCATCATCCTAATGTCATAAAGGAAAGCATATTTTTATCTCACACAGTTTAAAGGATTAACCTTCATATCAAGAATGTTGGCAGTATTCAACCAAAGTATTCAAAAAAGATTATATTTTTGAAAATCTAAATATACAACATTTATAACCAATTTCCATTTTGTAATATTATACTGTTTATTGTGTTCTGGATAAAAGTTTGCCATCTTGGAAGCTGAAATGCCAACATGTTCTAAAATATTCTGTCCTTGTAAGTGTGGTTGTATTTAGGTTCACTGGCTATAAGGGAGGCCACATGATATGCTTCAAGATAACTTGGACACACCTAAAAAGTCATGGAACAATGGCTTCCATGCCTTCAGTTTCTCACCTGCTTCTTGACATTTGGGGAAAATTTCAGGCCGCTGGTCTAGTTAGAGGAAGAAGAGTTTCAGAAGCTCACTCTCTCAGGCCTAGGACTTGGCTCAGGGCTCTGCTCAGACACTCGGATTATCTAAGAAGAATGCTATGGCCTGGGGAAGTTCACTGTCACACCCCAGAGTGCAGACCAGCTTTTAAGAACCACTGATTTGGTCTCTGCAGAGATGAAAGGCTAATAAACTGCCCTAGAGATTGGAGCAGTGTTCCACTTACAATAGTCTTACCTGTTTTAGGCTTTGTGTTTCTATAGAAGTCTAATGACTAACGGGGAAAAGGTAAACTCTTGAAAGCAGGGAAATAGGCTTTGCCTGGGTCCTTAGAAATAGCTTCACTAAGATGACAAGACCAGCGCAGGAAAACAGCAGAGTGCCTGGTCTCTAGGCCCCATGTGACTGGCTGAGAAGTTTCTAGGCGTGTTGGCCTCATCAGCTGAGGTATTTATGGAAATGCTGAATGGACGCCCTTTGAGTTATACATAAGTCTATCTATTTAATCAATTTTAAGGCCTTAATTTTTGAGGTTTACTTTGTGTCAACCTAGAAGATTTTGAAGCTAATATCATTAATACATTAGCTTAGATTTTAAAATTGATGCTGTGGACAAAAAAGAAGATTCTGGAAAGTATCCTCACAGGGTGTTTTGATCATAAATTTCTAACTGGACAGGTCATGGTGGGTAGTCACTTCCAGGCATGCAACTTTCTAGTAAAAGGTTTATCTTTGCCTTAAGCAAGCCCTGCCAATTTTTTCTGTGCATCTAACACACCTTTGAAATAAACTGAAACCAGTCTCCTGAGAGTATGTAATCTTGTTAACTATCCTGTAATCCAATCTCTGCTTCTCCAACCTCCAGGTAACTTCCTTAAGTACCCTTCTTAATTTCAAATGCATAAAAGAAGCTACAAAATTGATTTTGTGGAGCATTTGTGATCTTGCTCCCCAGCACATGTCAGCTTGGATCAAACTCATAAAAATTCTCTACAGGTTTGGATATTTCTCACATTGACAATACATTATGAAAATTATACTTTGAATGATTACAAATACACATAAAAGGCAAACAAAGCTATCCTATTAAACTTGCTCTCTTTATGCATTTTATTTAGGATGAAATGTTATAAAACTGATATAACAATCTCAAGCATTTAAAATCTTCCTGATATGGAAATAAGGCATAAGATACAAAGATATGAGATTTTCTTAAATAGGAAAAAAAATAGGTAAATCTTAAAACTCTGAAATTAACCCAAATGGGGCCGACTAATCTAAGCCACATTTTTTTTTTCTTAATATATTTTATTGATTTTTTATAGAGAGGAAGGGAGAGAGATAGAGAGCTAGAAACATCGATGAGAGAGAAACATCGACCAGCTGCCTCTTGCATACCCCAAACTGGGGATGTGCCCACAACCAACGTACATGCCCCTGACCGGAATCAAACCTGGGACCTTTCAGTCTGCAGACCATCGCTCTACCACTGAGCCAAACCGGTTTTGGCAAACTAACCAGTACAAAATCTACTCAAGTGTTCTAATAGATTTGAAGTTTTTATTTCCAGGCTAATGAGGATTAGAAAATCTGGCTTCTCTTCCATTTCAGAAAATTCCTACACAGAGACAGTTATATTTTAATTTGTGGACCATGACAGCAAATTGCCTATTTGGCTATCACTTAGCATGGTGCCTGGTACATAGTAGGAGCTTGATAAGTATTTGTTAATGTTAAACAAGTTATGTAGACTCCATAGAAAATTATTTAGTAGAAAATAAAATATTATACCTTGGAAAATGAGCTGACTTACCCAATAATTAAAAGTCCACCATTTAAGTAAGTACCTAGAGGATATATAATCTATTAAAATCAGCTTCTTTCTTGGTCTTGTTAAGTATACTCTGCTGTGGCATATGAACAATATGTGGTATAGATCGATATGAAGAATGTACAGAGTTTAGAGACAGGTCCTCGCCTTCCTTAGCAACTAGGCGTGCTGAAAGCAGCAGCTGAGGATAAGCTGTACAAATGGAAAACTGCAAGGGAGAAGTATGTTTACTTGATTGAAAAGGTTTTCATAAGAATTTGTAAAGAGGCAGTATTGAGATTCAAAGAAATATATGTAAATGGTAAATCTTAAATACTCCAACTTGGTTTGTGAAAAATTCTGTCTTCCAGCAGGTATATAGTATTGTGGAAAGTTTGAGAATTAGTATGTGCCCCAGTCTTTGCTCTGATAAAATCGATACTTGATCTTGGGCAAGTCATTTAACCTTTTGACCACCAGTTTTCTCATATAGCCACATTAAACTTTGTGTAGTTTCCAAAACTTGCAATTTTATTTTTGTTGGTCAAATTAAGGGGGTGGGAAAGGGAGGAGAAAATGGCAAAACAAAACAAGGTAGAGCCCTAACCAGTTTGGCTCAATGGATAGAGCGTTGGCCTGCAGACTGAAAGGTACCAGGTTCGATTCCAGTCAAGGGCATGTATCCTGTTTGCAGCACATCCCCAGTAGGAGGTGTGCAGGAGGCAGATGATTGGTGTTTCTCTCTCATTAATGTTTCTAACTTTCTATCTTCCCTTCCTCTCTGTAAAAAATCAATAAAAAATATTATATATATATATAAATCAAGGTAGAAAAGACAAAGTACATTTCTGAGTGCAGCTCAGTGGTTGCCTGTGGTTAGAGTTGGGGGCAGGGATTGATGGCAAAAAGGACAGTTTTGAGGGTGCTGAAGTGTTTTAACATGACTGTAGTGGACATAGCCAGATTATACATTCATCCAACTCAGTAAGCTGTGTTTAAAAGGGTAATTTTACTGTATCTAAATTATATCTCAATAAAACTTTTAATAAATGGAAAATAATCCTATTCAACCATGACTTTGTACATGTGAACTATTTTGTGTTGTATTACAATCTTGTGTTTCCATTTAATTAATTTATTTATTTTGGTCTTTTCTACTAGATTGTGAACTCTTTGAAGATTGATCTTTATCATTAATCTATTCTCTGGCACATAGTTCCAAACTAAAATGTTCACTGAGTAA